TTCTTTAAATGTATACGAATTTGCTTCGAAACCCAATGGTGCGAGAAATATATGTTGTTGTTAAACGAAATTGTAACAACATAAAATGTACACCCCTATTTCGTGAATAGGGGGTATAGGATTTATATGAATTGTTGTGGTTTGATTTTGATGTGGAATATAGGAAATCAATCCAAGAGAGTGTCTGAAAAGCCAAGAAATTGTATTGTATGCTTTCCCCAGAATCAATATTCTCTTTTTATGAGGCGGTGGCTTCATTTGAGATAAGTACCATTGCCACCGCCCTGCCCTTTCTCTTATCTCCTTAGCTAGTCTATATATTTGGGTTAATACCGGCCCGTATATGGACTTTTACAATAAAATATGACCGCGCAGGGCTCAATAATAAATATGACCGCGCAGGGCCCAATAATAAATATGACCGCGCAGGGCCCAATAATAAATATGACCGCGCAGGGCCCAATAATAAATATGACCGCGCAGGGCCCAATAATAAATAATAGCTTTGACTGGTATTTTTCTTGTCAGCAATTTGACGTGTCTGTATAAACGGCTTTTAGTGATATCTGGGTCGAGCTGACGGCATTTGAATATGGATCTCGTCTTCTGAGAACTCGATCAATATTAAACAGATAAAAGATCCTGCTATTTTATATTTATTAATGTATATCCACATATAATATTTTAATAGGCGAGGCCAAAATTGGGTAACAACAGTAGGCCCCCGACTTTAGAATACGTTCTGGATAGAACTGTTCTGAAGTCGTATGCATAGTCAATTTTGGCTGACTTATGCTTTATAATATGTTTGAATGTTGTGACGTATGGATGTCGTTCGGGTGCTTTGGGACCCGTAGTCGATTTATTGCTCGTGTTCAGGCTTCAGCCCGACTTATTAATGTTAATGGAGTTGACTACGTGGATAGGCAACTTTTTGCAATTGCTATATAAATGGAGACCTGGATGGCCTAGTCGGGTAATATGGGACCCAATTTTCGTGTTTTGCATGTAATATGACGCGCTTTAATGGATTCGCATCCGCAATGCTGATAATGATATGGCTTTATGTGAGTACTAGGGCCCCATGATATCGTTATGGGATTCGCAATTTTGATGTCGTATTGAGACGACACGATTTTTTATTTTTCGTATTAATGTGGACCTGGTCAGATAATTCGGTATCCGGTCCTCGGTCTGATTTTTATTGAATTATTGCATGATCGGGTAGTGCTCCCGATGTTTCATGTGATTTTAAGAAAGGCATTAGCCCCGCCAAACCAACTTCAGGGTTTGGAAAAGATTGAGCGTATAGCCTTACCAAACCAACTTCAGGGTTTGGAAAAGAAGTATTCATGTCAAGATGTATGTATGACGCGCGTATATGACGAATGTATGAATGAATGGATGTATAATGAGCACGTGCGGGAAATAATTACTGTACGATAAATGATATTACCTCGATGTTTTGTCGAGTCTGACTTTTTTGCCGGTAGGTGTTATGCCCTGCCGGAATATGAATCGTACCAAATCAACTTCAGGATTTAGCGAAAGAACATTATTGATGTCGGTTATTATTGTGAGCCCGCTAAATCAACTTCAGGATTTAGCCACGAGGGGCATCAGCCTCCCCAAGCCATCTGCAGGGCTTGGAAGTATCCGGCTGTGTTGCGTTTGGCCAAGTCATACCAACTTCAGGGTATGAAACACGTTTAGCCTTAGCAACGGGGACCAATTTATCGAGAGTCCATTTGTTGTGTTTCCCCATGGTAGGTTCTGTGCCTTGCCTCTTGCGGGGAAGACACACATTTTTATGCACCGAACTATTTTTCGAGATTCGGCTCGTTTTAAATGCAGGAAATGGAAGATATCTTAGCGAGATATCATAAAGACATAAGCTCGGCTGGAGTCGAGGCTTAACGACGAGCAGATAAAGAGACGTCGGCTCAGCCGGAGTCGAGACTCAACGACGAGTGGATATAGAAACGTCGGCTCAGCCGGAGTCGAGGCTCAACGGCGAGCGGATATCAAAACGTCGGCTCAGCCGGAGTCGAGGCTCAACGGCGAGCGGATATCGAGACGTCGGCTCAGCCGGAGTCGAGGCTCAACGGCGAGCGGATATAGAGACGTCGGCTCAGCCGGAGTCGAGGCTCAACGGCGAGCGGAATGGAGACGTCGGCTCAG